CTTCCTTATGATCCAACAGTTCTGATCTGAGATGCTTACCCAAGACAAACAAAAATATACATCCACAAAAAGACTTGTAGAATAATATTGATAGCAGCTTTATTCATAATAGCCCGGCACTGGAAATAGCCCACATGGCCTTCTCCAGGAGAAGCGTAATACTAAGGGATAATATTATGAAATGCTTGAGATATTTTCAGTGGTACATCCATTTAATGGACCCTGCTTGACAGTGAGAAGAGTCAGGCTACTGATGAACAACAATGTGGATGAACTGCAGAAACATGGAGCTCTTACACTTAAGACCACACTCTCTGAATGTCCATGTTAATGCAAAACAAGTCTGTGATAGAAAAGAATTGAGAATGGCTAGACAAAGGTGGACCAGGAGGGGTCATGGCCTGACTGTGACTGCTCACCTTCATTTTTATCTGCCTACCCTGTGGTCAGCCATGGAGTTCAGTGACTGGATAGCAAGTCCTGTGGAGATCGCCTCTCTTGAAAAGAAAGCTGCGTGGGATCCACCTGTGTTCTCCATAGAATTTTCAAGGTATATAATAGTCCCAAGGCTTGTGAAGGTGTTCGGCTGTCCTGTTGCTCCTGCTGCACCGGGCAAAGGGCAAGGGCCATGTGTCCTTAAAGTGTGCACTCTGAGCCTGCCCTTGGTCTGCACTAGCTGAGAGTGGGGTTTGCAGTTCACTTATTATGTATCCAGGCATGAAATGTCTCTGAGAAAGACCCCAGTGGGTTCTGTCTCCCTCAAGAGCCTCACTCCCCCACCAAAGTCAGGCTGGCAGAGGGTTGCTCAGGTCAGTGAGGTGTGAGATGTGACATGACCACCTGCAGCAGATCCTCTACAAGTCAACATGTGGCTCACAGCCCCTCTTCCTGTCAGTATTGACCAGTAGTACCCCAGGTGAAGCCACCCCAAAAGGCTAAGCTTCTGATAAAGGTGGGGTGAAAAGACCACATCTGATTCACAACCAGCATGGAATATGACAACATACAAGCCCATGTTTCTGGAGGCAACAGAGACCTGGGGTCTACTGGGTGTCACAGCCTAACCTAACCTATCCTGACTGGTGGTCGTCTTACAGGAAAATCTGCTTCATCACTGGAATACGAATTCACAGCTATAAGGAAGAGAGTGTGTGTAGAACCTACAGACCAATCTCTCTCATGAGCATAGATGCAAAAATCCTCAACAAAATATTAGCAAATAAAAATCAATAATGTCTAAAAATAATTCTACATCAGGACTAAGTAGGATTTATCCCAGGTATGTAAGGCTAGTTCAACACTAGAAAATCGATTATGTGATCTACCACATCAACAGACTAAAACAGACAGATCACATGATTCTATCAATAGATGCAGACAAAGTGCTTGACGAAATCCAGTACTACTCATGATAAAAACTCTCGATAAGTCAGGAATAGACCAGAACTTCCTTAACTTGATTAAAAAAATATATACAAAAAACTTAGAGGTAACATTGTACTTAAAGGTGATAAAATTGATATTTTCCCACTAAGACCAAAAACAAGGCAATGGTGTCTTCTCTCACCTGCCTTTTCAATATCATATTGTATGCTCTAGCTAATGCAATAAGGCAAGAAAAGGAAATAAAAGGTATACAGACTGAGAAGGAAGAAACGAAACTCTGTTTGCAGATGATATGATCATCTACACCAAAAATCCAAAAGAATCAACAAAAATATCCTGGAACAGGAAGAGTGGAGGAAGATGGCAGAGTTGAAGTTCCTGAGATCACTTCCTCCCATGGACACACCAAGGCAGCAACTATGTATGAAACAACTCACTCTGAAAACTACCCATGGCTAGTGACATAAAGAGAAGGCCACACAGAGAAGGGTGAAGGGCAGATGTGTGGTTGGGATCCAAACACCACTCCCGTGCACAACAACCCACAGCGGGAGGGAAAGATGGCAGGGGAGTGAGGGGTCATGCTCCACACCAGGCACCCCTGGCCCTGGGCACCTGCCCCAGGAAGACAAGCCCCCCTAACGTCTGGCTCTGAAAATCAGCAGGGCTGAGCTATAGGAGAACCCGAAGAGGGTGGGAGGCCAAGTCTCTGTTCTTAAAGGGTTGGGGCGCTGTATCAATTGGTCTGAGATCCCACACAGAAGCAGGAGTTTGAGAAGTGCCTGTGTGGTATGTGAAGGACTTTTATTAACTAATTTTAGTACATGTGTCAGAGGAATGGGGATCTGTAGGAGTTTTCCTCCAGTAGCAGTAGTGTTGGCAGGTGCCATTTTCTTGCCCTCTGACAGCCTAGCTGGCCAGATGCTTGTGGGAGCCAGTTCTGACACTCCAGCCACCTTGCCAGCACCACTCACCCTACCCCAGTGTCCCCTGTGCACTTATTCCACCCCAGCAGGTGCCCCTACAAAGAGGCACCCACCCTGCCTCACCCAGTGGGCAGCCCTGGCTGGGACCAGCACATCTCCAGTGACTCCTGCTCCCAGGAGGAGAGAGCTAGCCTTGCCCACCAGTGCATCAGCAATAGAAACAGCCCGACCTCTCAGGCAGCTGTGCCGGGAGCAAGTCCTCCCACAGGGCACCCATAATAATCATGCCCATCATTGCAGACAGCCAGGCGGAGGTTCTGGACCTGCCCCCAGCCTACTCACAGGCGTCACAGCCCAGTCACAGCAGGAGGGCGCACTCCCCTTGGAACATCTGGTCCTGAGGAACAGGGCATGTTTTTCTTCTGGGTCCTGCAGGACACCTATTATGTTAGGCCACTGCTTTCAAGACCAGGAGATGTAGCTGACCTGCCTAATGCCTAGAAACAAGCACAGAGACCCAGAAAAAATGAGGAGGCAGAGGACTATGTTCCAAACAAAGGAACAAGGCAAAGTGCCAGAAAGAGCGCTGAATGAAACGGAGGTAAGCGATCTGACTGATAAGGCATTCAGAGTGACGGTCACAAAGATGTTCACCAGGCTGGAGAGAAGACTGAATGAACACAGTGAGAACTTCAATGAAGAGCTAGAAAATATAGAAGAGAACCAGTAAAAGCTGAGGAATATAATAACTGAAATGGAAAACACACAGAGGAAATCATGCTCAGATTAGAGGATATGGAAGAATGGCTCAGTGATCTGGAAGACAGGGAAGTGGAAAGCAGTCACTTGGGAAGACAGCTTGGTGGTCACAAAACTGAACATGCTTTTAACATACAACCCAGCAATCACATGCCTTGCTATGTACCCAAAGGAGCTGAAAACTTACACCTGCACAAAGGCCAGCACAGGGAAGCTTACTGCAGCTTTATTTGTAGTTGCCAAAACTTGAAAGCAAGTCAGATGCTGTCAGTAGGTGAATGGACAAATAAGCTTAGGTACATCCAGATAATGGAATATCATTGAACGTTAAAAAAAAGAGCTAGGGAGCCATGGAAAGACGTGGAGGAACCTTAAATGCACATCACTAAGTGACAGCAGCGAGTCTGAAAAGGCCACGCACTGTGTGATTCTAATTCCAGGGCATCAAGGAAAAGGCACAGCTGAGACAATGAGAAGGTTGGGGTTGCCAGGGGCTCGGGAGGAGGATGACTATGTGGGGCACACAGGGCTTTAGGGTGGTGAGGCTACTCTGAAAGACACTGTGATGGCGGACACGTGTCATTCCACGTTGTGTCCAAACCTGTGGGCCGGACCAGGACGCTGCTCCAAACGGATCAGGCATGGCCATCTGCTGGCCTCTCGAGTCCAGTGTTATTCTTCGCTCCTGCACACCAGTTTCCCCACGTGGCAACAGAGGGTAGCAGCCTGGAGCCCTTGAACCATTGGAACAGCTTGTCCCCTGGGTGTGGGAAGCCCCAGGAAGAGCCTCCCGGGGCTCAGGGGGTGCTTGGTGGCTCCCATGAGCCTTTGGGGCTGAGGGGAGGGCCTGTGCATGGGGGGTCCTTGCTGAGGGGTGACTGGGGCTCTTCTGGTGTGATTTGTTTGGTTTTGTTTCCTGAAGTTCTGTTCGTTGACCCAAATTTTAAGATTTATGTGTTTACCTTAAATTGTAAGCTATGATGTAAGGCTTCTTGTTCCAACCCTGTAAGTGCCTCTCTGGTGGGTAAATATTTTAACCATATTTTACAACCTACTAACTCCTTCTGCATCCTGAGCCCTGAAGGTGTGCGCAGAGAGGAGGGTTAGTCATTGCTGGATCACCGCTCTACCCTTGCTCACCTGGAAGGCGCCGCTGCCTCCAGGGAGAAGAAGCCAGTTCTCACCTCCCGCTCCTGGAGCCCACTTCCCATCCCTCGGCTGTCCTCCTTTAACACTAAGTGAAACTGGCGCCTTATTTATGGATAGTTTCTTGAATGTTTTCCTTAAAAAGACAGTTTGTTATTGTTGTTAGGATGTTATTGTCATGTTGCTCTGTGCATTTAAAAATGTGCTGCCCACATTTTGAAATTTGAGAAACACAAGCAGATGTCCTGCAACTCCCACTTCTCTGAGGATGTGGCCCTGAGCTGCCGTGAGGATCCGGAGGCGCCTGGTCCAGGGGGTGGGGCAGCAGAGGTGTGGGGCGGACACTTGGTTTCATGGCTTTGTGTCCCTCCCTTCTTTTCTGTTGCATTTGTTTTGTTTTGTTCTTACAGGAGGGGAAGTAGGGCTTACTTACATACAAATATGTCACTGTACATTTTGAGTAACAAAAGAGACAAACTTCAAGAAGTAAACCACCAGTCTGGAGAAATGGGTGTAAAACGACAGCTTCTGTCTTGCCTACATCATCAGCTCCATTGGGAATTGTATTTCCATGTGGACATCTAGCCATTTACTTCTCTGTTCCCACATCACTCTTGACATATTTAGACAGACATTCAGGCCCCAAGGGAGAATCCAGATCTTCTTCTCACAAACACTGACTCTGTGAAACATCAAAGCCTGGAGAAAGCCCAGAATCAGGTAAGAAGTGATTTATAATTATTAAATTTAATAAAGAAAGGCACTCATTATGCCTAGGTGTTTCTCTATTCATGATAAGTTATAAGTATTGGTTTTGATAAGGTACACCACTAGCTTCTTTAATAAAACCTCCAATTTTAGTTTCTGAAATAAGAGCCTTTAACTGAGAAGACTAGCAGTTAGAGGGAGGCAGCCAGAAACCAGAGGCCGTATTCACCCAGGGCAGCCATCCCAACTGACGGCTCCACGCGCAGGGGGAAAGCCAAGCTCTCCGAACCAGCCTGCGGCCTCGCCGTCTCCACAGCATGCACAGCCCTGCCGGCTCAGGTCCAGGATGGTCGCCCATCAGGCGTGTATTCAGGGCAGCACCAGAGACACAGGGCCCTGGTCCCTGAGAGCAGCAGGGGCACCCTGAGGGCTCAGGCGTGCACGTTCAGGCCAGCTGGGCGTCAGTGCCCAGGCAGGGCCACTGCAGGCATGCAGTCGTTTCCCATCAGAGGGCCCCCAAGGCAAGACACTAGGTGTGCCCACATGGGGGGCTCGCAGTATGCCCACCCCACGCAGGAGCCAGTCGCAGCTGGATGGCCATGCAGACACGCCCCCTGATGCCTGCATGTGGCCTGGTCTCCAGCCTGCTCCTCAAGGCCAGGGCCCCCTGCCTGGCCAGGATGACAGCCATCCCCCCGCTGGCCTGGCAAGCAGTGAAGCTTGGCTCTGGGGCAGGAGGGTGTCCATACTCCAAGCGCTTAGACGAATTTTAGAGGTCCAAGGGGAAGAGGCCTCAGGGGCTCATGCCTCTCGGGGGGCACCAAAATGATGGTCTGGCCAGAGGGGAGGGCCATGGTGGAAAGGGCCCTGACAGAATCGGGCAGCGTCTGCTCAGCAGGCCCCCACAGCCACCAATGGCCCAGGAGCCCATGGGTGGCTCTGGTATCCGCCGCAGCTGCAGCCATCCGGCGCCGGTCCGGTCCCAGCTGCCGCTCCCTGGGATTGCTTGCCTCCGTGCAAGTCGCGACACATGGTACGGGCCAGAGTCGCGAGGGCTGGAGGTGGCTCTCCTGGGTCTCGGTGCTGTGGATGCCTGTAAAGGTTAGCACTGGTGATGTCACAGTTTGTCCAGTCACAGGGAGAGCCCTGCCCCCTCCACACCTGTGCCTCCTGATCCCTGCCTTGGGCTCACCTTTTGCTTTGCTGTAGGAAAAATGGGATTTAAAGTCATTTTTATTCAATTGCCTGCCTTGACCAGCCAGTTAAGCTGAAGTGCTGGGACTAGTCGTAACTACGATTCCTACAGCCTGTTGTACCTGCCCAGTACACACAGCAAGTATGCTTTCACACCAGGATGAGGAGTCTTGGGGGGGAGGCTAGAAGGCAAAAAAGCAGGGGAGTGCTGACCATCTAAGCCTCTGCCCAAAGCCTGAGAGACTCGGCCATGAGACTCTGCCCTACTAGCTCATTAGAAATGGTACCCAGCCCACCTCAATGCAAAACCTTGAGCACCAAACGACAGCCAGGCCTTCTGCAGCCTACGTCTGGCCACCAGCTGGGCTGCTGTGCTGACAGAAAAAAAGCCCTGGTCTCTGCGGGAGGGGGCCACCGACACAGTGCACGGGTCCCAGCATGGGGTGTTGCCGGAAAAACCCACGGGCATCTTTGTGACAGCACTGATCACAGCGAAGAGTAATTTCCAGCCAGAGGGTTGTGAGAGGTCTGCCAAAGCACGGGAATGGAGAAGCGGCTCTCAAGGCATTTGGCGATAGGAAGGCCACAGCAGGCCAGACACAGGGAGATGCCAGAACGTTCCCGCAGCCTCACCAGACCAAGCAATGAGCGCACACACATGTGAAGACCGCAATCTAAACAGAACTTGGCCGAAGACTTTCCTGGGCCGGCCTCTTGGACTCTGTGCACCATTTTCTTCAGGAACAGTCTGTCCCTGTGCCCTAGGATCCAAATCTTAATCCAGAAAGGTCCCTCGCACTCCCCAGGGTGTTGAAAATTGCAGGGTATACAGCTTTGGGCTTGACTGTTTTATGCCCCTACTCCAAAGCAAGGCAGAGCGGCTGTAATGACAAGTTCCTCTGATCACCCTGGGCAAGAATTCCAAGCCAACCTCTGCAGGAACCAAATTCCCCAGTGGCAGCCGGGAAGAGAATGGAGCTATTGTGTTTATTGTGTTGGCCCAAGAGGGCTTGAGATAGGATCTGCTGTGTTTGCAAGCAAGCTGTTTAAGAGTCTGCAGGCAAATTAGAAGAGCAACTGGCTTTATTACATGAATTAATACAACGGGGTTTAAAGGCACTGTGGACATGAGCTAATTCCAGGGCAGATTCCAGGTTTCTGGTCTGCAGGGAACACCGTCCCACACCTACCAAAGGCTGGCAGGGCAGGCTGCTGTGCCTGAGGGGACGACACTCTCATACAGGTGGTGGGGACACTTTACGAGGGGCTTTCTGCCAACAGCTGCCCTCAAAGGTGTGCAGTGGGGCCACAATTACAGACATGCGATGGAGACAGGTGTTGTCAGCTGAAATATTACCAGTCGAAGCCACTTTTAAAATGACGATTTTGTTGCAGGAAGTGTAGTTTTGCAATGATGTTTCCAGCTCAATCAAGTAAAGGGCCTCCTTAGTTTGGGTGCCCGCCCACACCCCACCTCTATCCGTGCAGTGATTAAAGCTTCCTGCCCCCTTTTCTCAGCTTTCTAAAACCAGTCCTATGATGACAACTGGGACAGAGGATGACCTTGCTCTGACACATGCTCTTAGGAATCTGCCTTCTGGAAATCACACACAGTCAAAGTTTTGAGCAGTTTTTTGTTGCATTAGAAAAACTCTGTTTTTGCTTTTCTCCCAAATATAGAATAATGCATAATGTCAAATAAGGTTTTGCTATCGAGACTTCCTCCCCAGGAACGGTGACTTCTCCCCTCTGGGGGAATCTCTGCACTGTGTCCAGAGCACCGGGTGTGTGGGTGCTGGGCCAGGAGGGAGGTTGCAGCCCCAGAGGCCATCCCTAGGCATTCGGCCCAGAGAGCTCTGCACAGACACCAGGGGGCAAGAAGCCAAGACACGCTCCAAGGCAGGAGTGCATGACCTTAGCGCCCCCAGTGCCTCTCCCTCAATGTGCTGCATTATTTTCTTGGGGCAAGAGAAGCTCATCAGCTATGACCCACGTTGCTCTGAGACCTGCATCCAGGTCCAGTGGGAAGCATCCTAATTGCCTGGTGAGATACGAGTAGACATAGCTATAGACACAGACGCAGAAGTGGGTTCAGACAGAATGCCTGCCTCTTTTTAGGGATGTACACCCACGAGGCTGTGGGCCTCAGAGGTCCTGATCGCCCACAGAGAAGCTGGCACCGTACAGATCTCAGCGCCGCCCAAATGCACCTCAGACACAGAGACACTGACAGGCACAGGCCCCAGACTCTGAGCCCCTGTCCTGGGTGGGCTTTGGAATCTGTGCTGGTCACAGCCCCTAGGGAGCCCATGCCTGTTTCACCAGCCGCACTTCTCCTGGCCTCCTCCTCAGCTTCTGCTGCAGGCTCTACCCTGGCCTCCATTCCAATCTCCATCCCAGCTTCTTCCCCAGCCTCTGGCCCAGGCTCTGCCCCGGCCTCTGCCCTGGCCTCCATTCCAGCCTCGGGCCCTGGCCTCCATGACAACCTGCACAGCTCCATGCTGTCCCCTGCACTCGCACATCCCACCCGGCCTCTGGCTGGCCTGATGCCCAGACAGGCGCCCTGTCCTGGCCAGCACCTCCTCCATCATTGTCCTGACACGTCAGGGTCACGCTGGGTGTCTTCCTGGTCCCCACTTCCACACTGACGTCACTTCTCCATGGTTTGCCTTTATGTCTCAGTCATTTTGTACCCTGTGATTTGTCATTTGTATACAAGTTTTAACCCCATGTGGGCTGGAGCCCTGCCTTATGCATCTTTTTTAAGAGTGAAACAATATTCATCAAATCAAATTTAGCATCAAATCCCCAAATTATTTTAGATTTCCTTTTAAGACACATCAAAGCAGCACTTTGGGCTGGATGGGAGAGAGTCAGAGCAGGAAGAACCCCAGGCAGGATGCAGGGGCTGGAATTCGCTGACTCACCTCATCTATCAAGTGTGAAAGTTGCCCCGAGTTGGCACTGCCCAGCTTGAAGGTGTGCCGAGACCTGACAAATTAGTAAAACGTAGATTCTGATTCAGAAACTGGGGGGCTGAGGCTCTGCATTTCTAGTGCACACCCAGGTGACACCAGAGCTGCTGGCCTGAGGACAACACTCGGAGTAGTGAGGGACCTTTTAGAACTTTCCAGACCTCACATTCCACAAAAGCCAAAAGAGAGGCCAAGGTGCCAGCTGAGGCATTGCAGTCAGAATGAGCAGCCCCTCTTACCCAGGGATGACCCTGGACAAGTTACTGAGCACCCGGAACCACTGCCTTCTCCTGGGAATGGCACCTGGCGTCTGCCCTGCCCTCGCACTGCTGTCAGCCAGGGAGACAGGTCATATTAGGCTGGCCTTGTGCCCGGCTGAGAGGCCCCAGCAGACCAGCTCTTATCTTGGGTTTGGGAAACCCCCAACCCAGAGGCCTCCCCAGAGTCCTGGGGTCTCAGGCCCCCGGGGAGGTGGGGGCTCCTCCCCAGAGCTGGCCCCACCAGCATCCTGCTCCCACCTGCCAGTGCCGTGAACATCCACCCTTCAGCCCTGCACCACTGTCCTTGGCAACAAGCCATGAGAGGCAGGAAATGGAGGAGAAACTCTTGTGTCATGTCGACATAGCTCTTTCTCGGGGGGTGACCTCCCCCACAGAAGCTGTCCCACCCTCAGCACCTCGCTAAACATCACACGATTTTCTCAGCCAAGGGTCTCTCTGGAGAAGGCCTCTGACCCGTCCCTGCATCTGCAGGAAAGAGGGCAACGATGGCTTCAGGTACAGCATGAGAATGTGGAATTCACGACACCATGAGCCTCATCAAAGCTGGCTTGGTGAGCTCCCACCCCAAGTTCCACCTCTCCAGGCACCTCTGCTGGGAACACGAGTGAGCAATGACTAAGCACCTACGGTCGCCTGTGTGTGCTGTGCACATCGCGGGGTCAGGAGCACAGTCACAGTTAACCCTGGCCTAGCAGGAATGGGAGGCCTCCGACCTGAGAGGCAGTGACCCAGAGAACATCGCAGCACTGGCAGGTCCGTGACGAGCATTCCAGGGGCAGCAGTTAGGGCCTTCTGCTCAGAGGTCTGTGGGATTAACCATGGATCAGCAGCTGATGCCGGCATAGTCAAGACGAGGGTGTACTTCTCATGTGGCTGTACGTGGGCCCTGAAGCTGGCCCGTGTCCATGTGACTGCCCTGCATCCTCCCTGGGAAACATCAGCAGTGTGGGCTTCCCAGGTGGCCATACTGAACCCCCTTCCACTGCAGGCGATGGTGGTATTCAGAGGCTGCAGGCCAACTAGCGTGCTGCCCAGGTGGCCAGGCCCCACGCGGGGCAGCACTCTGGCTCAGCAGGGCAGGAGGCAGGCCGGGGCTCCCGAGGGCCTCCACTGTACAAGCGACCACAGCGACACACCAGTCAGCACATGGGTCCCTCAGGCGCTGAGAGGCAGTGACCTCATGCGGACCCCGCAGGGCTGCTTCCTGAAGAGAAGACGTGCTTTTTAGGGATGAGCTGGGGCAGGGCCTGGGCCAGCGGAAGACACCCTTGTGCTTGGTGGCAGGGCTGGTTTTCCATGGGCTGCAAGTCTCCTGAGATTCCAAATGCCCCACCACCCGCATATTTCTGTCAGAGAAACCTGGTATTTCCGTTGAGCACAGAACATGGAGCCCTCACCCCACGGAGAGCCTCTCCTCCCCAGCTGCTGGCTCGGGGCTTTCCAGGGTCTGAGACCCACAGCAGGAGGGGCCACGGGCCTGCCTCCCATGAGGAGCACAGAGCCTGCTTCCTGGCAACACGCCTGCCGCCAGGAAGAACCTGCGGTGTGGGGAGCATGCTGTGGGGCAGGACCCATGGGTCCATCCGTCTGCGCCTGCCCTCCCACTGACAGGAGCCTTCAGGCCCCTCTGGTCAGATCCCAGA